AACAACGGACATCAGGCAAGGTTACTCTGAGACCCTGATGAAGTGAGACAAAACCAGGTCACTGTGCAACCCATAAAGTTTCAAATAGCCTCTCTCTCAGCTGAAGCAAGGGACTGATGTGTCTTCACGAATCAGAGTTTTGTCTTTGCTCTAGTTTGCTCTCCTGTAAATAATGATTTATAATATACCCAATCATAGAATCCCCCCCCTTTCTGACTACCCAGTGTAGACCATTTCCTCTACACCTACCCTCACTATGACCTAACCACAGCCCAGAGCCTATAACAGGTCCCTCCACCACCCTCTTTGTTTCTTGTGCTGCCAGCTTCCAATTGGTGTGTTCCCGATGGATGGTCTTTGGCTGGAGGGCATTGATGGGGTAGGAGTGGGGTCACTTTCTTTTCTTGGATCCAATGATTAGTCACAACAAATAAAGGTTTGAGATCATCCATGCTATCCTTTTTTTTTCTTTTTCTTTTTCAAATTACCAATGACAAAAATTATTTTGTGCTTATTTAGACTATAATTTTAGGTGTTATCCCAAATAGGAAACAGATGAAAGGGAACTGCTGTGGCCCACACATGGTGGCCCCCAAGCCTCATCAGCTTGGCTCCCCTTACCTGTTCCCACAGCAGCCTTAAGACACTTCTCCTTCTCCACAAAGAGAACCCCTTGTCTCATTTAAATCCCCGTGGATCAGGCTTGCAAGACCTAAATATTGTGGATCCCTAAAGGTCACTATTTGTTAGGGGTATTTGTTAGACGACCTTTCTGGTTCCCTGATTCTGAAGGCAAAGTCATCATTCAGTGATGGTGCTCTTCTCTGTTCATGGTAGTTCAGTGCTGGTTCACCTGCCCTAGCACTAGCTCACCTGCTCTAGTGGCTGGAGGAAGCAAGATCAGGAGGCTCCTGGCCCCATAACAAGCATCAGATACCTGAAAGCTGGGTGCAGGTGAAAGAGCTGAGCAGGGTGATAAGCAGGGCTCCAGAGGCACAGAAAACACCCTCTCTTATCTGTAGAGGTCACACTGTCATGAAAGTTTGTACAATTGCCAAATCTCTGTAGTAATTTTCACTGGTGTCAGGGAGCATTATGGTGCTAACTTTCGAGCTCGCTGCATTTGCAGTGCCTTCTGTGTAGGAACAATCTTGTTTCCTCTTGCTGCTGACCCAGGACATGCCGCACAGCATTTACATGATGTTCTAGTGACTCCTTGCTATCTGGAGGGCTGTGTCCAAGGTTGCACCATGATCCACGGTCAGGATTTGGACTTAAGCCCAGAATCTGACCTCTAAACCTCTGCTCTAGTCATTATTGCTGATATTCCTTGTTAATTCTCCTTATCCACAAATTTTCAGGCTTTGTAAGCTCTAGAGTGAAATTAATTTCTGCCATAGCTGGTGCCTTCATTCACTTTCCTTTGGTTGAGCTGCCCTCTGAGAGACCCAGATGAGCTCAGACACTGTTTGGTGTTTTTGGAAGACTTTGCTTAGTAACCAGGAGCTGGACTGTGAGTCTAGGCACTGCCAATCACCCCATTTCCTCCTCTCTTTGGCCTTGATGTAGACTAAATGTTTGTGTTTCTCCCAAATTCACGTGACAAAACTCCGAGTCCTAATTTAATGGCATTAGGAGGTGGAGTCTTTGGAAGATACTTAGTTCATGAGTGTTAAGCCCAAATGAATGAATTGGTGCCTTTATTTGAAGAGCAGAGAGCTAGTCAGCTCTCTTTCTGCCATGGGTGGACACAGAAAGAGGGTGGCCATTTGCAAATTAGGAAGAAGGCCCTCACCAGAACCCAGTCACACGGGCACCCCAATGCCAAACTTCTAACCACTAGAAGAGTGTGAAGTAAATTACTATCTTTTAAGCCACTCAGCCTATGGTATTTTTGGTGCATCAACTTGAGGTCACTAAGGCAGACCTTTATAGTATATTATATACTAGGTAGTATATATAAGCTTAAGAATATAATGCTTTCTCAAGTTTCTCCTGGCACCTAGAAAGATGGAAAGTGGCTCTGATGTCTAGTAGCCCAAACTGGCGAAGCCCAAAAATCTAGACCTTTCCTTCTGAGATAAGTCTAGCTATGTAGTGAGAGTGATCATTTACGGTTTCTAAAACAGCATCAAGCGGGATTACCCAAGGTTCAGGCCAGAAAAAAAAAATGTTTCCATCCTTCTTTCCTCTCAGTCCTGTGCCTTGAGACAGCCAGTCATTCACTTAACAGTCATTCTGCCCCTGCCTCTCTCCAGTAGCTTCCTTTTCCCTGAAGATCTAGCTTCCTACCATGGGCCACACTTGCTCAGTGTTCAAGTTCTCAGATCTTGTCAAGCTAGGACATGGGCTTCAGATCCAGTCCTGGCAAAGGGAACACCAGGAAAAGGTGCTTTGTGTGTTTGTATATGTGTAGAGTCTTTAGGAAAGGCTAGCTCCCTAATTCAAAGACTCACCGGAGGAACCACTGGCATTTTTTCACTGGATGTGATCCTGACATCTCCCAGTGCCAACCAGAGACACTATAGCGCCTGTGGAACTGCAGAGTCAAAAGATGGACAGAATCTTGATGCTATCATTGAACTGCTGTACCATTTGTGGAATCACCCTTCCCTGGGTGGCTGCAGTTGTGGCTCAGTGGTCGAGTGCTTGCCTAGCACATGTGAGACACTGGATGTGATTTGCAGCATCACATAAAAAAATTAAATAAAGATATTGTGTCTATCTACAAATATTTATATATGAATCCCTTTCCTGGGTTTTCCTGCTTTATATCGCTATTGTTTGAGCTACTTTTAATTGAATGCTTACCAACCTGTGGCTGAAAACATCCTGCTACAGGTTTGTTCCCAACTTCTTATACACATTCTCCTTGGAGCAAGGCCCAAGGCAGCACGATCCTCAGGAACACAGCCACAGTTTCCAGCACAGTTCTTTTGGCACCAAGCTTAAGAGCTACAACTGTGCACATACATGTGTATCATATACACGCCATGCCTGGAGCTTCCTTTCTAGTTCAATACATTTGTGTGTGAGAGATCTATTTTTAAATGACAGGCTGCAATTGCAGAGGATGCAGGGAAGTGAGTGAGGGTGGAGAGATGTGGGTGGAGGCCTGTCCTCACCACTCAGGGATTGCTGGGGATTTTCCAGAGGCACTTTGCCAAGGAAACCTTTGCATTCTTTTGACTCAGCACCAGAAGGAAAATTCAAAACAGACTGAGTCTGATTTCCAGAGCTAAAGACACCCAAATATTGGGTGCTTGGTAAAGGACAGAGAGCATCGATAGTGAGGTCAGGAAAAGGGAACCTCTGCTCTGGATTTTCATGACTATTTAGGACCATTTGATGCTGAGCACAGGACAGAGGCCTTGGAAGAAAGTAGCTATGTGATCATGGAATAAGAACTAAGCAGAGCTCACTAGACATTTGCCACATAGATACTCCAGATGATAGGACATCTGATGCTGAAGTTCAGGGGCAATAATATACAAGAAGCTGAGGTTATTTGGCTTGTGGAGAAGCTGGGCTCAGGAGAGTTGTGTGCAGAGAATGGGACCTGCTGAGAAAGGAAGAGCTGGGGGAGCAGGCAGGAGCCAAGTGCGGTGGGAAGAGGGAGACTCAGCTGACTCCTGTGGGAGGAAGGCCATCAAGGTGGGCTTCTAGAACATTACTAGTCACAAGAGGTTGGCCACGACGAGGAGAGCAGATATTGATCAGGGCCACTTTTTTTTTTTTTTGATGCTTGGGGATTTGAACCTAAGACCGCGTGCATGCCAGGAAAGCATTTTACACTGAGCCACATGCCCAGCCCTGGGCCAGTTTTTCACACACAAAAAAGCAGAATCTGAATGAGGCCCAAACCTGATTACATTATCAGAATTATTGGATGGAGAGCTTTTGTAAAAACTGCATGTATACACGTGAATCCCACGGTACTCCCACCCCTGAGATTCAGAGGTGTCAGATTGAGAGGGTCTAACTTTATCCATCCCTGGAATTTTTAATTTTTGAGAGGTTTTCAGGTGATTCCGATGATCCGATGGGTTTGGGAACTTCAGAAATGAGCAGCATGGCTGTTGATAGATGGCTTTGGAGCAGATGATAAATGTACTGACGTTGACAGGCAGGCAGGCCTTAGGGATCAAGGGTTGATGTTAAAAACTCCATTTCCTGGCAATGTGACTTCCCAAGAAATGACAGAATTGCATACCAGGAGGCTTGACATCAGCCATCCTGGGGCAATTTTATATGCGCCGGTCATCTGAGGCATCTGCTGATGTCTGTATTTTACACATGATAGAACTGGGGTATGTAAAGGGTAAAATGGGTTTGCCCAAGATTGAAATTCCTATAAATGTTGAAAATGGGAACTAGAACCAGGTTTTTTTTGTTGTTGTTGTTGTTGTTATTTGTTTGTTTCTTTGCACCAGTGTCTGAGAGTGACTTCAAAAATCAATGGAGAACTAACCATGTGCACCAAAGAGAAATAGAAACTGAAGGAGAAAAAGAAAGAAAAGAGCAACACCTGAGACTTGATTAGAATGGGAACAGGGCGGGGTGGCTTAGTCTGTTCATGCTGCTTTAGCAAAATGCTACAGACTGGGACTTTATAAACACCAACAATATATTTTCTCAGAGTTCTGAGGTGGAGAAGTCCGGGTGTGGGCTTTTGGCATCTGGTGAGGGCCTTCTCATGTGGTAGAAGTGCAGAAGGGCAAAGGGGCACAGGCTCCTTCCCTGGGTCCTTTTATAACACATGAAATGCACCCCTTAGGGTAAAGCCATTTATTTCCAAAAAGGAAACCATAAGAGGGATTAAGTTTCAACATGAATTTTAAAGGGGATACCTTAAAATCAGAGTGGGGGCAGGAGAAAGAGACATTAGAAATGAAAGAAAACTCTCTCATCATTTTCATCTGGCTTCATTTATTCGCCATTCATTCGTTACTAGCTCCACAGTTAGAACCTCTTTCTTTCTTTCTTTTTTCTTTTTTTAGCTCATCTTACTAGAGTTCCTGCTTCCTGATGGTGTGAAGCCCCTCCTAATTCCCAAAGCCCCGAGTTGCTCCTCACACTTGGGCCCTGAGACCACTATCTGCTTGTCTCCTGGTGAGTGTCATGCAACGGGGTAGCTCCTCAGCCATTCCACATGGACATCCTTCCTACCCCATCCCTGGGGACAGTGAGAAAGTAGAATGCACTGCTGGACTCTGCAAGGAGCCAAATGTCACTCTGTGGATATTGTCTTCTTTGATTTTGTAAATAGTAACTTTTCTGCAGCCAGATAAAGAAACGACCCATTTGTTTGATACTAGGCAAAACAAATCCATAACTAGTTTTTATGAGACTCTGGATTTCTGGATAACTTTGTGCTAAGAATGGTGGAAATATTTAGAGCTCTAAAAAAAAGCAAAGTTCAACCTGTCGATATGCATTTGTGAGAGCTAGGGCACATTTTGAAGCATCTGCCCTCCTGACCATAAATACTGGGGTTCCAACACAACTGTGCTTGAGCTTCCAAAGGATGGTGGAAAATGCCATTTATGGTGCACGCCTTGGCGCCCTTGATAGTCCCTATTGTTCACGTTGAAGAGTAGGAAAAAAAAAATCTCTGTGCCCAGTCTCTCCAGAGTTTACCAATCATGGCTAGAATTATGTTCTTTAGGTTTCTGCAGTAGACACTTTGGGTAGTAATGCATTAAGCTTTAAATTAAAATAGCAATTAAAATATTATGCTAAGCATTTTCTTATTTATAACATACTAATTTATTGTAAAGTAGTTTGCTTTCTTCTATGGTTGAGTTTAATGAGTTTCTTTCAGAAGAACCATAAAAAGCATACTTGGAGAAAAGAGACGGTGTTGTTTTTTTAATAAGCAATGTAGCTGTCACCAAATGTTATAAAGATTGATTACTAATGCATTTTTAATGCAGATAATTTATTAGATAATAAGTTTTTTTCCCTTCTAAATTTCCAGGAGGAGGAAATCATTGAGTTTTCTATTTTAAATTAAAGGCTTTCTACAATTGGTTTTTCACTAAGCATTAAAAAGGATGGTCAAATTCTATTATGTAACAAACATACTTAGGATAAACCTGCTGCACCTTCTACATACGTTTTTGTCTGCTTCAAACCTCTTGAGAGCAAGAACCAAATAAGACCCATACCCACCCACTGTGCCCTGTAGGGTGCTATTAATACATGGTGGTGCTCCTTAAGTGCTGTTAGATGGATGAAAGTCCTGTGCTGCTGTTTTGTTAGAAACAAATGATTCAAAAATTCCTCCTGTGAGGACACTTGTCCTAAACTTGTTTATCAATGATGGATTGCTCAACAGGGTGTATTTCTCTCTATCTTCCAGCAGCCAAGAAGGGGGTGGGGTGCAGATGTTAAGAATCCTTTAGCCCAACTATATCACTGTTTTCTTCTCTGATGAACCCTGTCCAGTTTTAGTAATGCCAAGTGGTTAGGCTGTGGGTGCGCCGTTTAGGCAGCTGATGGAAAATTTCCTATTCAATGTGACCAAGAGTTCTAAGATGACCAAGTGATCACACAAATCTCCCCCCCTTTTTAAGCAAGGATTGAACCAGGAGCATTTAACCACTGAGACACATCCCCAAATCCCCAGATCCCCAGCACCACCTCGTGTTTTTTAATTTTTTCTTGAGACAAGGTCTCAGTAAGTTGCACAGGGCCTCGCTAAATTGCTGAGGCTGGCTTTGAACTCATGATCCTCCTGCCTCAGTCTTCCAGTATGCTGGGATTACAGGTATGCATCATCATGCCCGGCACAAATTCTTCTTAAACTTTAGCATCTGATGGCAAAGAAATGTAAGTTTACAAGGAATTTTCTCTGGGATACACTAAGAGAACCCAAAAAAGATTTTGAAAAGAAAAACTTTTCCTGAAAAATCATGTTTTCCTTAAAAATGGAGAAATTTGTATTGTAAACCATAATACAGCTTTTTGTTATATGTTAAATATGTTAAAATAAAGCAGGAGATCCCTACTTATCTTTGATCAATACTGAATTGAGTGTAATTTCAGAAAAAGTGGACTGGGTTGAAAGGAGGGGACATGAGATTCAGACTCCATTTAATGTTCTGTTTGGATCTGGGCTGGTGTTATTTTGGAAATGTAGACTTGTACAACAATGATAAGCACGTCTTCAGTGCTTGCCAAGTTACCCCAGGGTAATCACTGAGAACAGGCCTAAGTACAGTGTTTTCAGCTATAGTTCATGCAACCTTGGATAAGTGACTCTTATTGACAGCGGATGCCATTTGGATCTTGCAATGGTTAATTTTATGTGTTGACATGGTGCCCAGATATTTGCTCAAATGTTACTCTAGATGTTTCTGTGAGGTAACTTTTTGATGAGATTAGCATTTAAATCAAAGGACTTTAAAGCCAATTGCCTGCCACACTGTAGATAGCTGGAACTCATCCAATAAGTTGAGTTTAATAGAAAAAGACTGACCTCTTCCAGGCGGGCAGGGGAAACTCTGTCAGCAGACGGCCCCCACCTCAAGCTGAAGAAGCTCTTTCCTGGGTCTCTGTATGAAGGTTCTTCATACAGATTTCCGACTTGCCAGCTTCCTCAATCACATGAACCAGTTCTTCAAATTACTCTCCTTCTGTACACATCCTGTTGGTTGTGTCTCTCTGGGAACTCTGACTCATACTGATCATGTAGTAGATTGATTCATTGGTCATAAGCCAAGAAACTAGTCATCAAAGAACTTCAGAGAAGAGAAAATAAGGAAGTGTGTTCTCTACTTTACCACTGTGACAGAATTTTCACACGTGCTTGTGAACTGTCACTAGAGCCTCATCACCTGCACAGAGAGGGACTCTAGCAAGTGAGGGAGGCTCTTATAGAGCTTCCAGTCACATCTTCTTGCAGCAGTGTCAACAAATATGTTGACACCAGTGTCAACAAATATGTTGACACCAGTGTCAACACAGCTCTGCTTTGGGTTAAGTATTTGAGAAAAGTCGTTCTGAGCAACCTGAGAAAGTCAGTGATGAACACTGGTTCACTTATCTGATTCATTTTCCAAATTCATTTTTTTAACTTTTTGTAAAACCCTTGTTTTCACTTCAAGAGGAACAAATCTCCCTACCTGTATGCATTTAACTTCTTTTTTAAGATTCCACATATAAGTGAGATCATGCAGTATTTATTTTCCTGTGCCTATTTCACTTATTGGAATACCCTAAAGGTTCATCCCTGTAGTTGCAAATTACTGTGTTATGATTTAGAGGAGGTGTCCCTCAAAAACTCATGTGTGAGACAATGCAAGAGGGTTTACAGGTGGAATGATTGGGTTATGAGAACCTTAACGTAATCAATGCATTAATCCACTGATTGGGATTAACTGGGTGGTACCTGTAGGCAGGAAGGTTGTAACTGGAGGAGACGGGTCACTGGGGCCTGCCTTTGGGTTTATATTTTGTACCTGGTGAGTGGAGTCTCTTTCTGCTGGCTAGTGGCCATGGCCCCAGCTGCTTTCCTCCACCATCCTCTTCTGCCATGATGTTCTGCCTCACCTAGGGCACAGAGAAATGGCGTAGGCCGTTTATAGACTGAGACCTTTGAAACCGTAAGATCCAAATAAACAGGTTTTCCTCAAAAATTGTTCTTGTCAGGTATTTTGGATACAATGGTGAAAAAGCTAACTAAAATAGAATCTGCCTTTTAAACTTAATGTTGAATAATATTCCACTATGTATCTATATCATATTTTCTTAATTCCCAGAAATGAGGAGGCAGGTGGAGGGCAGGGTGGACTGGGAAGAGGGGATGTGGAAATGGTGAGGAAAGGTACAGATTTTTGGTTAGACAGTGTTATAGTTTGGATGTGACTTATCCCTCAAAATCTCATGTGTAAAACAGTGCAAGAAGGCTTGGAGGAGAAATGATTGGGTTATAGCTTTAACCTAATCAGTGAATTAATCTCCTGATAGGGATTAACTGAGGGATAACTAAAGTGGTAGGGTGGCTGGAGGAGGTGGAGATTGGAATGTGGCTTTGGGGTACATATTTCTCTCTGGCCAGTGGATTCTCTCTCTGCTTTCTGATCGCCATGTGAGCTCCTTCCCTTTGTCACACTCTTCTGCCATGATGTCCTGCCTCACCTTGAGCCTGGAGGAATTAAGCCAGCCTTCTATGGACTAAGACCGCTAAATAAACCTTTCCTACTTTATAGTTGTTCTGGTAGGGTCCTTTAGTCATAGCGGTAAAATAGCTGACTAAGAAAGGAAGAATAAATTTTTATGACCTATTGCAAAGTTGATTGTAGTTAATCATTAGGTATTGTATATTTCAAAATTGCTGCAAGTGTAGATTTTAAATGTTCTCAATGTAAAGAAATTATAAGTATGTGAGGTGATGAATTTGTTAATCATTTCCCAATGTGTGTATATACCATAACATAGCATCATATCTCATAAGTATACCATTGTTTCTGTTATCTACGGGGGATTGATTTTAGGAAACTTTACAGATACTGAAATCCAAGGATGCTCAAGTCCCTTATAGAAAATGTTATGTTTTTTGTATATAACTTGCACATATCTTCCTTCATACTTTGAATAATCTCTTTGATTACTTTGGATACCTAAAACAATGGATATGCTATGCAAATTGTTAAAAACTATATTCTAGAGAATAATAAAAAAGGTAAGAAAGTCTGTTCATATTTAGTACAAATGATATTATTTTCCTGAAGGTTTTCAATCCACAGATCTGTAATCTACAGAGACAGAAGAACAAGTATATATAATGGTTTATTAATTATAAATAAAATAAAATACAAGAGGGGAAAGTTATCAATTCAACTCTTGAGTCCCTAAATTCTGATACATGATTGTTCCTAATGAGGGGTTTCCAGGTATTTGGAATTTTAGTGCTAAAATGGAATTATGCAAGGCAAACTGAGACTATAATCAGCTTCTATCTCTTGGTAATAGACCATATTTCCCAAATATCTTCTTTTGTCATTACTAATTTATCTAAAATAATTAATCTCCAAGTAAACAGTATTTCATTTTTTAAAAAATCACTCATTAAACATAAGAAAATAAAGAGTCAGTCATGTAAGGCG